CGAGTTTTTCCAAAACCACCGGACTCGGATATTCTATATTGGGGTTAACGCTCAATTCATAGCCGCATCTTAAACGAGCGCAACATCGCATGCTACGTTGCACAGTTGGAACACATCAGCAGCCATTTTTACCATTGCCCGATTAAGTGCGCTATTCCAAGCTGGGTTAATTACAGGCATAGAAAAGTAGCTGGCTGGAAAGAAGAGGTACATAGGGGCAATGTTTGTGGACATATGTGGCCCCCAGGGCTTTCAGATGCCAGTTACATAACAGATCTACGTAAGTGGCATTCCAACTGTGACATGAGCAGCAGCAGCAGCAGCAGAGCCCTCGTGGGCTGCGGCCAAAACATAACATTGCTCGAGCACAGCATGGCACGGCACCGTGCCGGCTAAGGACAGGCTGCCAAGATCGATTCAACTGCCGAGTGTGGCAGCTGTTGCCAATGGGCCGCCGTGCAACTGATAAAACAGTGGCCGCAAACATTCAGGCAGGGGACACCACGAAGATGGGGGATGGGTTGGGGGGGGGGGTTAGGTGTTACGGAGCCCGAAGTTTAAAGAAGCGCGATCACACGGGGGCACTGAGAAGAGGGACGGACTGCTGGGAATGTTGAAGGACGGACACTGTGGTGTTTGGCACGCACTGTGTTTCCCTCCCTCCCCCTTCCCGATCGACCTCCCGGAGTTTTGTCCTAAGACCAAGAATCCATTTGGAGCTCTCACCGGCGTAGTTGTTAGCAAACGGTTCATGGAAGCAGGTATCACAGAACTAGTTCTTAGATCACTAAAAGTGACTGCTTTCTTTCTCACTAGGTGACAGCAGTTTCCCTCCAGTTCTGTCGCAGAGTAAAATGTTCGTCACGTGATTCTCAAGTTTTTTATTTGAATTGCTATAGCTGGAATTTATTCGCGTTAAATTCTCAAAACATTTTAAATGACGACTTTTTTTAGAATAGGTAACCGGGCCAAGACCATCGTCTCCCTACGCTTGTTAACCGAGTTTAATCATGGTCAACTGAAGTCCGGATTTGAACCCACCCAGGATCCTCAAAGGTGCCAGCTGCCACACGCTGCTTTAATAAAACACGACGTGAACATGTTTGCAGTTGCAAGGCAGCTTTGCAGTCCTTCACATTGCATGCAGAACAAGGGAACGTAGCGTGCGCGTGTGGCGTTGCTGCGCGTAGGAGAATGTTCCTTTTTGGCCTGACGTTTTTTCGCTTCGTGTGAGAATGCGCGATTGTAGCCATCGCCAACAGAGCGGCAAATCGACAAGGTGAAGCACTTCGACCGTTTTGGAAACATTTGAGATGCTATTCGGGTCCGTATGTGTCGCGAAAAAGTACACGCACGATTCAATTGAGCGGCACGAGTTTACCGACTTTTAAAGTCGCACGTAACGGCTCGCACGTTCAAGCGGATCCTCGCTGACTTGTGGGTGTAAACGGTTGGTTTTTGGTGGCCGATTTCCGCAGTAAGGAGGCAATAACGACGGCCACTTAAACAGGGCGTCACCCACGCTGCGTTCACAAATCAACAGCCAGCAGCCCATGCCCACCCCAGTGGTGGGCGCGTTTGTGAGCTTTACTGGGTAAGCGAGAGCCTCCGTTGCGGCTGGTTGAGTGGCGAGAGAAGTTGTTGGGGAAGTCTTTTGGAGGTCGTAAAAGTTGTTTTGTTTGGCTTGGGGGATGGGGGGGGGCTTTGTAGGACTTGTGTGGGGCCGCACTGCTGGGTGTTGGCGAAAGCTGTGACAAGAGGCTGGGGACCCCCCCCCCCCCCCATGTGTGCGGCGGTTGGGGGGGGGGGGGCAGAAAATGTGAGTGGCCGTCACGTGGCAAACCTGGCGACTGACCACGTCTCGACGCGGGGAGGTGGAATTGTGTCCGTGTTTCATTGAAGTGCATTGACGGCTGGGACAGATGGCCACCAGGCTAGCGCGTGGGCACTTTGCTGCGAATTTTTATTTGTATTGAGAAATATTGCATCTAGCCTAATTTGTTATTTTTTTCTTAACATGAGCTGCATGCATTTAACAGAATTGCTGCATGCAGGATATATTTATATGTATATAAAGGATTGTAATGTGTCGGTAGTTATAACGTAAAAAGAGCGTATTTGTATTTTGCTAAACATTACGATATTCACTATGAGACCTCCTTTGCCAGTAGCAAGCTATAGTAGTAGGTTTTTACCCTTTTATCTGGCACCAAAACTGACACCTTTATACAAGGGATCATGTTTGTAATAACCACAACACAAGCAGTCAAAATGCAAACAAAAAGAGACAACTCTGATAATGATATGCACTGTCCTTGAAATTGATTGGTCCACACCCGAGATGGCTTTTCTTAGAGCCTAGTCTCCACTGGTGTTGGATCAGATGACGCAAAAAGGCGTACAACTCAAAAACAGCGCACTATCAGAGTATTGAGAGCTCGGGGTAAGCATTTACACTATCAGACCTCCTTTTCCAGTAGCAAGATATAGTAATAGGTTTTTACCCTTTTATCTGGCACCAAAACTGACACGTTTATACAAGGGATCATGTTTGCAATAACCACAACACAAGCAGTCAAAATGCAAACAAAAAGAGACAACTCTGATAATGATATGCACTGTCCTTGAAATTGATTGGTCCACACCCGAGATGGCTTTTCTTAGAGCCTAGTCTCCACTGGTGTTGGATCAGATGACGCAAAAAGGCGTACAACTCAAAAACAGCGCACTATCAGAGTATTGAAAGCTCGGGGTAAGCATTTACACTATCAGACCTCCTTTGCCAGTAGCAAGATATAGTAATAGGTTTTTACCCTTTTATCTGGCACCAAAACTGACACGTTTATACAAGGGATCATGTTTGCAATAACCACAACACAAGCAGTCAAAATGCAAACAAATAGAGACAACTCTGATAATGATATGCACTGTCCTTGAAATTGATTGGTCCACACCCAAGATGGCTTTTCTTAGAGCCTAGTCTCCACTGGTGTTGGACCAGATGACGCCAAAAGTGGAGAATAGGCTCTAAGAAAAGCCGTCTCGGGCGTGGACCAATCCATTTCAAGGACAGTGCCAATATCATTATCAGAGTTGTTTCTTTTTGTTTGCATTTTGACTGCAAACATGATCCCTTGTATAAAGGTGTCAGTTTTGGTGCCAGATAAAAGGGTAAAAACCTATTACTACATTACGATATTATTTTTTAACTAGTGCGGTGAATTAGAAATCGTAAAACTTTGATACATCCTCAGTACCTAATACTTACTAATGTGTTAATAGTCGGCTAAACATCCAAATCTAGGACCACAAATCTTGGGTAATCGTTGGAATCCATTACCTGTGGTTTTCCGCGCCCCCGTGCGAAAACTGTTGCACGTTACACATACTACGCCACTTTCAGATGCGATTTCCATGAACAAGACAGCGCTATGTACAAATGTAACATTACTATTGTTATTAATATTGGCCCACATGCATGGGTGCGGAAGTGCACACGGCGGCCAAATCCAACAAAACATTGTTCACTTGTCTTCTTTGGTTCTTTCGGTAAAGTCACGTTGAATGAGAATAAAATAATAAAATAAAAATAACACAATAAAATTCTCACGACGTTTCGGCCACAACACAAGTGGCCTTAAATTTTGATTTAAAGCTTTCGTGACTGCAGTAATTCATATTCTTAGCTCTTTTGGTAAAGTCACGTTGAAGGGAAACAATAAAATTATAAAATATATAAAATAATCAAATATATAAGCAATATATATTTTATTATTTTATTGTTTCCCTTCAACGTGACTTTACTGAAAGAGCTAAGAATACAAGTGGCCTTCTTCAGGTGAAAGGAACAAACCTGTCGGGACGACAGAGCATTGAAGCGCATTGAAGCTCTGTCGTCCCGACAGGTTTGTTCCTTTCACCTGAAGAAGGCCACTTGTGTTGTGGCCGAAACGTCGTGAGGATTTTATTGTGTTGTTTTATTTTATTATTTTATTGTCATTCTACGTGACTTTACCGAAAGAACCAAAGCAGATGAATCCTTGCAGTCACGAAAGCTTTAAATCGAAATTGTTCACTTGGTGGACAAAAACCCCGAGTCGCAAGCCAAAAGCCACGCAGGCCGCCACTCGCCGCGGTGACGCGACCCCCGCTGCGTCGTCCGGTTTTTTATGTTTCCCAGCGCGACATTGCCCTGCTTCGCTTTGCGTCGCCATTCGAAGTTCCTTAGGATCTTTTCCAAGGGCCCAGGTAGCGCTGAACCCTGCTCCGCACGGCCGACTCTGCAAATTGGCTGCCACTGCGGCACGCGTGGCGATCGGGCGCCCGTGACTTAAAAATATCAGAATCCATTGGCAGGGCACAGCTGTTCCAGGAAATTGGTAGATGGCTTGGTGTTGCCGTCTGGGGAATAGCAGCACTCGCTTTGGAAAGAAAAAAAACATTCCAAAATGACACGTCTGATCTTTACGCCTTGATTGGATCTTTGAGGGGCTCAGAATAAGGCTTTGTGAGCCACGCACTGCATTCGAAACGGCCGTTCATTGGCAGGCAGGCACATTCCGGAGACGAACGATCACGCTACCCCGTGTCTGTGCGCAACGTGTAACATATTAGAGAATTTAATCCACGCGATGCGGCTTTTAATGTGCACTGAACACTCGTGGGGTCCGCGGTGCCGCGATGTGCTTTGTCACAAAATGTGCCGATGTAATGTTTCGTTTCCTTGCCATCGTTTTGTGCGGGGTCGTATTCTGCTTTGGTTTGGGCCAGAAGTGTTTCTTGCTTTTAGATATTGAATGGAAATGGAAGATCATGTTTACGTTTGACTAGATAACCTGAATTTAAAAAAAAAAACTCAATATATGTACATTGACAAACTGCACGTGATTGCATTAAGAAAAAAAAATTATTTCGCGCATGTCAGCCGTACGCTTGATTGAATTGTCTTTTTTGAAAATCAGTTCGTAACCTAATTTGTAACCGAAATGTTTGTGTCGCAGACGGACCGAGGGAGGCTGCGTGGGCGAGGGACTGCAGCGTCGCGGCCAATTCTGGTCACGAGCATCTCGCGTGACGACGAGGAGGAGGTGTCGTCGTGCCGCACTGAACGACGGCATGAATATGCTCAGTTTGCCGAGATGGACGATGTTTGTTTATTGCTCGAAGGCCAAGCTTTGAAAGGAAAACATTATGGAAACAATTTAGACCGGCCGCAATATTTTTGTAACATTTAACGCCATCTGGAAAGCTTCGGCAATGATTAATACGGCTTGCTTTGCCTGCTGATATTTAATTTGGCTCATTTCGATGACATTAGAAATCAGATAGGTGGCTATGGATAGCATCCTGCAGGCAGGCAGAGCAAGGAATTGTAGGGGCAATGGCCAGCATTAAACACTTGGCACTGGCAGAGAAGGTCGGCGTGGTGGAGCCCGGCGTCATGGCCGGGCCCAGCGGGGAGGCCCAGGGTGGCGTCCGCGCCGACGAGTTCTACTCGCGGCGGCTGAGGATGCAAAACGGCAGCGGCAGCGCACCGGGCTCGTCGTCGAAGGCCGACGGCCACCCCGCGCACGCCAACGGAACGCCCTCGGTGCCCCGCATGGGCGTGCGCGCCCGGGTGTCCGAGTGGCCCCCCAAGAAGGACCACGACGAGGAGCCGGATAAGGCACCGTGGGACGCACGCTCCGCGACGGCGCCGTACGACAACGTCCCGCCCAGGGCCTTCCCCACGTCACCGCCCAGGACCTCGCCGACGTCGTCGTCGAGGAGTGCGCAGGGAACGCCTGTGCGGCGTTCGCGGGACGACGGCGGGAGCCCCGACGCCGCCGACCGCTACCACTCGGCGGCCTCTCCGCAGAAAGCGGCGCACCCGCCGCAACGGCAAAGGAGCAACAGCGACGTGACGCTGGCCGACCTGGACCTCAATGTGATAACCGTGAGTGCCAATTCCGGGATGGGCTCCCTGCACCGGGAGTACGGCAGCACCTCGTCGATAGACAAGCAGGGCGGCTGCTACGGCGTCGCAGCGGAAGGCTACTCGAGCCTCCTCAGGGGCTACCGTGCGGACGATTGCCAGGACTCGTCGGTGGCTTTCCCCGGGCCGAGTTTAGCCGACTGGCCAATGCTGGTGCAGGACCTTGACAAGAACCCTGCGCTGCTGCTCAAAGAGAGGGAGAAGTCCCTTAAGCGGCGCTCGCGCTCCGACACAGGCGACAGCTCCATCTTCCGCAAACTGAGAAACCGGGTGGACGGCGAGTCGGCTTCCGAGAAGTCGTCGGACCAAGAGGACGGCCGCTCCGAGGACGGTTCGAAGCCGCCCTGGGTCTGCCAGAAGTGCTTCGCCCACTACGACGTGCAGAGCATCCTGTTCGACCTCAACGAGGCGGCCGCAAACCGGCACCAGCTGGGCCGGCGCGTCAACACCACTACGGGGGCGTCGGCCGCCTCGCAACCCCCGCGAGCCCTCGGGGCCCTCGCCGCTTGTCCCGGCGGCGGCGGCGGCGGGGGCGGCATCGCGGGGACGGGCGGCTCTCCGTCGGGCAGCACGGAAGACTTGAACGGCCGCGAGTGCCCCGACCCGGACACGGGCGATGGCAAGAGCTGCGAGCTGCTGCACAGCTGCCCGTACTTCCGCAACGAGGTCGGCGGCGAGGGCGAGCGGCGCATCGGGCTGACGCGCTCGGGCGGCGGCGGGCCGGTGCCGGGCGCCGGCGGGTCGGCGGCGGACGGGGCGTCGTCGTCCTTCGAGTGGTCGCTGAGCTCCCACTGCACCAATGCGGGCGTGTCGGTGCTCGAGGTGCCGCGGGAGAGCCAGGCCGTGCACTGCGAGAAGGTGAAGCGCTACATCATCGAGCACATCGACCTGGGCGCCTACTGCTACCGCAAGCACTTCCACGGCAAGGGTGAGTCGAGGCGCCGGGTGCCGCCTCCGTCGTGACGCTGCTGTTGGGTGCCGCTGTGGCGAGATGTTAACTACGTCTCCTGGTATGCGGGAGGTTGGTGGGTTTCGATCCTGACCCTGGAGTTTGCATGTTCTCCCCGTGGTCATGTGGATTTTTCTCCGGGTCCTCCGGTTTTTCCCTTAACATTTAGAAACGTGCGCTTTGGGTTTGTGACTGCTCTACATTTGCACGTGATGAGCCACTTAATTGGGCTATCGTTTGTGGCCAGGTCGCTTCTGAAAAAGAGCGATACAGCTCAGTGGGCCTTACCTTGTAAAATAAAATAAAAAGTTTAGTTTTAGTTTGGCGCAACGCGTTGATTTTCACGACCGAGTTTATGATTCGTACGTTGATTTTTTTGGGTCCTTAATACCGACCGCCACGCGAGACGTCCAGACGTTAAACGCACCAGCCATTACTGTTTCGCATCTCCAGTAAGTCGAAGAACAATTATCACGACGTTTTGTTTGAAGCTGCGTTTGTGAGGGTTGCTCAATATGGGAGAGAGAGGACTTTGGATCCATTTTCTCTCCCATGCACTTCCATCAAAGTCTTTATAGGGCACCAATGCGGATTTTTAAACGTGCTTTAAAGGCGACAGAAGGAAGGACAATAACTAGATTCAGAATAAAATGAATCTTAACAAGATTTTATAATGTATTAACTATGCCTTTATTCCTTATGCACCATTGATACACTACACAATGGAGAAAACCAGCTGTGGCGGATAATAATTTCTTGACAACCGTGCACAACCAACTCTCTTAAAAACTTTCGGCAACAGTAACGGCCCCGGCGAACAGCGACCACCCCGGCACACGTACACGGGTGGCGCTCACTTGAATACACAAATTTGATACCGCCCTCACGGCCTCTATCAATCAACTTGGCTCGTGCTGCGCCCCCCAATCGGAACCCCGTAACATCGTTACATAAGCCCTGACTTTTTGTTGACTTCAATTTCCACCAATCGCGCACAGGCCCGTCGACTAACCCCGCCCCTGGTCAAGGCCATACTCCGTCATGCCTTGGTTTGCGGAGATGTGGGGTTTGGGACATTTTCCCCCCATAACCGCTCACCTCGTGTAACATCGGCCACTCCGCATAACCCCGGGGCGACAGTATGTCTCTACTGTTACAGCGTTATACATCATCAGGACCAGGTCCAGCGAGCCAGAATAAACATCCAGGAAGTTAGACTAACCGTGTCACCTCATCCGGCTTCTTAAACAGGTGTCATGACCTCGCAGGAACAACCAGATAATTCATGGTAACCTTATCGTTGGGCTTGTAAGTGCAGTATTTGTAAGTACAGTATTTGTAAGTACAGTATTTGTAAGTACAGTATTTGTAAGTACAGTATTTGTAAGTACAGTATTTGTAAGTACAGTATTTGTAAGTACAGTATTTGCTGCACGATTCAGGATCGCGGTTCAATTCAAAAACGACTTTGTCTTGTGTTCGTGTCTTCTGTGTCCGTCTCATTTGTAGTCTCATTCATTTGATAAGTAATATTTGCCCGTAACAACAATAATCATTTACAGCCCTGTGTCAATCCGCTATTGGATGAAAGGTTCCCGCTCGCTCCGGATGCCACGCGCCACTGTTGTTAGTCGTGGTGGTCTTGGTTGGGAATCGAACTCGGGCAGCCAGCTTCGTTGCATGCCTTGCCCCCTCCTGCTCCTTCCTCCTTCGTTCTTCGCCAGTCCCTCGCAGTCGAGGGCGATCGTCTTCCATCAGCGTCTTACCCGTGGCTCCGACGATGGCTGAAGAGGCCGATCTGAGATCGACGGACCTCTTTGTCGCAGCTCGGCCGCCGCCTGCGTCCGTGCAGGAAGGGTGGTGGGGTCCCCGTCCCGTCGATTCGGTGTGCGACCACGCAATGTTTCTTCCGCTTCTGCTTATCATCCGCCTCTTTCCTGCGTGGGGTTTCGACGTGCAACGATCCCTGCACCCGGGGACTGATCGATCCTGGGCAGTAGCTTATAATTAGCACGAATTGTGAAATGACCGTTCTCGTACTCCCCACGTGTCGCCGCGCCGATCGTGACCGGCGGGGAATCCGTTTTGAGCAATCGATGAATCCGTACGTGCCGATCGAACAGCCGAATGTTTCGCGTCCCCCCGTTTGCCTGCGCCCGCAAGCGTCGCGTGCACCTTTGAACCCCGTCCGCGTAGCGTCCTGAGTTCCGTTTATATTTAGACGCCGTACAAAATGTTTCCAAGCGATGTGGTTGTTCTTGTTCTCATTCTCTATTTTACCACCCATATGTTTTCCTATGAGGCGCCGCGAGTGAACAGGACCAGGGGTGAAATGCATTTAATTGTTGGCGGCCTATTCCTCTTAAATCTCGTAAATGACTTTGGAATTGTCTCCTTTCCTCAGGAGCTCAAAAAAAAAATGTCCCGTTGAACCTCTTTGCCAGTAAAATCGAAAGCCTGCTATTTTAGTGTTGCACTATCGTGCCACTGGCAGGGTGAGATTCAGCTCAAAATAGACGGCGCTAGTCGGATCCATTCGGTCATTACAGCGCTATTTTCAGTGAGAACTGGATCTCGTCTTGGGGAGAAGCCTCCTCGTAGCTTTTATTCTCATATTTCAGACTTGGCAGGATCTATAATCAAAACCCAATGGGTTCGCTTGCTCATTTCAAGTCAAACGGATATATTTAAATTTCTATTCTTTGTGCCTAATTGCACGCTTCTGTGAGGTGAGTCATTGACTCCTCCTCCGTGTTAATAATGAGGTTTTTTTTCTTCCCAACGCAGATATAATAAATAATATATCTGCCAGTGGCGTACAAAAGCGAAAATAAAAAAAAAATCCCTCAACTCTCATCCTTATCACTGGCCTTTATAGCAGACAAATAATATAATCTAAGAGGACAGAAGGCTCACGTTTCGTGACAATGCATCGAACTTCTATGCACAAGTCAACGTTAGCTTGCTCTAATCTCTTTCTTGCCGCCTTTGGAAGATATACGTGAGTAGGCCAGCTCTAATCTCTCTCTTACCGCCTTTGGAAGATATACGTGAGTAGGCCAGCGATTTTGCCAATGTCCCAGCGTGGAATAAATATGTATGTAGCCTGCTTATATCTGCGTTTACGAGGCAGCGTTAATGACGTGGGTGGTTAGTTTTTTTTTCTTTCTGGATTCGTTCCCTCCGTTCGGTTTTTATTTTACTCGGCCAACTTAAACGTTTTTGTTCTTCACAAAGTGAAGGCCCCCGCCGTGATGCACACCGCACTCGCCTCGCAAAGCTTCACAGAGCCTGTGGGGGAGCTCGCAGCTTCAGCTGTTGCGTGTCAGCTGCCGGGTGGCACTCGGCTCAGTTTGGCACAGCAGGTGTGCTAATCCCAGGCATTGAAAGCCTCCGTGGGGGTTGGGGTTGCAGAGAGGGGTCTGTGGTGCGGAGGGGGTGGAGAGGGGCGGGCGTGGGGTGGGTGGGGAGGGGTGAGTGCGGCGTGGGTGGAGAGGGTCTGGTTAGGGCAACGACGTTGGGCAGTGGTGGGGTCGCCAGTTTGTGGCATAATAGAGGGCCTCTCTGGACACGACTGCGGGGGTCAGAGTATGACGCGATTCAATCTAAATTAATATTCCACTCCAAAAGCGCTCTGCTCTTCACTCAACTTGAGGGGGTTTTTTACGTCTCATTGTGGTGTCGCTGTTCTCAACGAGGCGCCTGAATTGTGGCCAATAAATGTTAAATAACTGGAGTGCTTTGTGTTGACGCCCCCTTTGGTCATGAAAAGGAGTCCATGTCCTTTTTTTACCCATTCATAAAAAAGAAATAACCTCGTTCCTGCCCATCTCTTTTAATTGTTCTTAATTATGGCCACACCGATCCAAAGCTTTGTGTTTTCACACGGTGTGGAAATCTTATTGGAACTCTTTAACGTACGTGTCTGCCACGTAGGGTTCATCTTCATTGTGCCGAGCGGTGTGGCCGCATCTGTTTCTGTCACGTTTGGCTCCCGGGTGCAGCACGTGGGGGCAAGAGGTGTTTCGAACAATATTCGACGATGCTTTTCCCGTGGCTTCACCCAAGGGTCCTTGTGCATCTTTTATTCATCGCTGGGTTGTTTAAACAAAGACGTGTGAGACAATCAGCAAATCGCCCAGCAGCTGTTTGCAGCTTCTGCAAATTGCAAAAAGAGAAGTTACAATTATTACTAAATAAGAGGGTGGCGCTTCGTTTTCTGGGAAACTGTGGAAGTCCTCAATGCCGAAAGCAGCCATGAGCGTAGCGCATCCAGAAAGTGTAATTCGAAGTGATCTAAGTAGGGTACTTGATGAAATAAATCTAAGTTTAATAGCGAAGCTGAATAACCCACGTAAAAAAAAATAATCTCAATGTGTTTGATATGCCACACATTGAACCGTTTGGGCCAGTAGGTAAGTGTTCGCTGGCGGTGAGGCTGTGCTGCAGCAAGCTGCCTCTAAATCGCGTAGCGATGTCGCCTCTGTGCAGATGCGCGCCGCCATGAGACAGGCTTAGGTGCCGTCCCCACGCCTCCAATCGTGCGCCGAACAAAAGCCGCCTCATGTCCCGCGTCCAGCGTGCACGAAGCGTGACATCATAGCTGGGTTCGGAACCAGGCTCCAAAAAAAAAAGAAAATACAGGCATTTGAGAGGGCGGTTGAAAGGAGAAGCTTTCAGCTGCTGGGCCCGGTTCCTTCGCTTGAACGTCTGATACAATGCGCCGTCAACAAGGGCGGTCGTTGAGCGTTGAGGAGGAACTAAAACCAGACGGCGCGGCGTCTGAACCGCCCGCTGTCTTCGGTGTGACCGCATTGACCCAGTGGTGACTTCACCGCGGAGGGGGAAAAAAGTGGCGCACGCACAGAGGCGGTGTCTGTGTCCATTGCCTTGCGTCACACGCGAGCGGCCATGCACGTGCGCGCCCACATACTAAGGCCATTACAGGAGCCGTGCCATTCAATACGGAGACCCTTTAA